AAAAAAAAAAAAAGAAAAAAGAAAGTAAGAATAATTATGAGGTCCCTCCTATACATGAGAACACAGAGGATGAGAGATGTTAAATAACTTGTCTAATATCTACAGCTCATAAACAGAGGTTGACCTTGGGACTATTAGATGCCAAAGTCCACACTGATAAGCTGTGCACAAAGGAGGAAGCTTTTAGACAAAGAAAAAATAAAATAACATGTTATAATTGATTATTGCTCTAAGTTGTATTACTCAAAATATGCTGATAGTCCAAAAATTTAAATAAGAAGAGGAGCTGGGTAAACTGAAAGGGTACATAATGTTCTAAGGCTTGGAAATGGGACAGCCAAAACCCAAGAACAGGAATTTTCTGTCTTCTATGTCAGAGATTATTATAGTACCTACTCTGTCATTTAAAATGATACTGTTTCACAGATTTCACACTGACTCTGTTATTTAAAATGATATTGTTTCACAGACTTCACACTGACATGATTTAAAAATGTTATAAACATTTAAAATACTATTTATAATATAAATGCTACATTCATTTAAGATGATTTCCCCTTATTTCCCAGGTATGTATTTCAGAAAATAATTTGGTTCCTACAAATTATACCCATTCTGTCTACAAATCCCCATCCAATTAGAGTGGTTGTTAATTACAGCTCAGTCACTGTAAGAACCACTTCTTCTTCCCAAAATTTTTACTAATTTATGGAGTATGTCCAGGAATCAAGAAAAAAAATCTATTTTTACAACCACTGATCATTTTTCTTCAAAATTTTAAGTTTATTTTAGTGTAATTTACACCAAAAAAAAGTACCCCTTTTAAGAATATAATTTGATTATTAATGATTTATGGATATCATATTATAATAACATTCCAATGAATAGGCAAACAAATTTTGTCACCCCAGAAAGTTCTGTCATGTGTTCCCTCCTGTATGGCTTCTTCCAGTCATAATGAAAGCGTAAGTTTTTTCATCCATGTTATTGTATATATTAGTAATTTTTCCCATTTCTGACTGAATAGCAATTCAGTGTACATGTATAGCACAAATTGTTATTTTATGTTCCTGAATTAGATATTGAGTTGTCACCAGTTTATGACATCTTCATTTTTGAGAAAACAGTGGATCCTTGCAATCTAGTGGCTCAATGTTTAGCTTGCCAGAACATGAGACTCAAGGCTCATGGTTCTACATCCCATATGTATGGCCTAGTCAAGGTTTCTGTATCTTGGATGCCACTTTGGTGTGTTTCAATTCAGTAGTTCACGGCTCTGGCTAGGGGAGAAACCCCCGTGTAAAATACTTAAGTTAATAGAGGAAAAAAGCATGAATCAGTAAATAAATTTAAAAGTAAATGATTGGAAAATAAGTAATGTACAGATAATTTCTACTTTCTTCCATGCTACAAATTTTCCCGGTGGCAAGGAGCACAATCTTGTGCTGCAATTGAATCAAGTCACTGGCAAAGTAAAGCTAAAACACCATGAGAGACAGGGTGCAGTGGCTAACACCTGTAACCCCCCACTTTGGGAGGCCAAGGCAGGTGAATTATGAGGTCAGGAGTTAGAAACTGGTTTTGCTAACATAGTGAAACACTGTCTCTACTAAAAATACAAAAAATTAGTCAGGTGTGGTGGTGTGCACCTGTAATTCCAGCTACTTGGGAGGCTGAGGCAGGAGAATTGCATGAACCTGGGAGCCAGAGATTGCAGTGGGGTGAGATGGTGCCATTGCACTCCAGGCTGGGAGACAGTGCAAGATTTTGTCTAAAAAAAAAACAAAACACGCTGGGAAACCCCTTAATTTAAAAGCTACATCAATGTCCACCTACACAGTGAGTTCTAGCCTAAGCCAAACACACTTAAGTCTTCACCTAGAGCACAGGTAATAAAACTGGTGGCCTACATGTCAAAAGGTAGATGTTTTTGCAACTCTGGGTCTTTATTCTCCAAAAAAATAATAAGATAACAGCCCAAGAGAATTTTTGGTAAAGAATTTGATAAACATAACATACTGTGTGCATTTTGCTATTAGTCTATCTTTCATCAAATACGTTTATCAAATAAATTAACCACAATGAATTTATTTTTGGGATAATCAATTGAACATGTGGTTGCAAAGGCAGAGATCTTTTCTGGCCTTCCCTGACTCCCTGTCTCCTATTTCACCAATTAATTTTTTATCTTTCTCATCACTTTCTACATTTGAACATTCTTAATATTCCAGTGACATATTCCATACCAGGTGTATTAGTCTGTTCTCATGCTGCTAATAAAGACATATCCATGGCTGGGTACTTTATAAAGAAAAAGGAGGTTTAATGGATTTGCAGTTTCACATGGCTTGGGAAGCCTCACAATCATGTGAGGAATAAGGAGGAATAAGGACACATCTTCCATGGCAGCAGAAAAAAAGGCATGTGCAGGGGAACTCCCTTCTATAAAGCCATCAGATCTCATGAGACTTAACATGAGAACATCATAGGAAAAACCCACCTTCGTGATTCAATTACTTCCCACCAGGTTCCTCCCATGACACCTGGGGATTATTACAATTTAAGGTGAGGTTTTGATGAGGACATAGAACCAAACTCTGTCATTCTGCCCCTGGCTTCTCCCCAGTCTCATGTCCTCACATTTCAAAACCAATCATGCCTTCCAACTGTCCCCTAAAGTCTTAACTTATTCCAGCATTAACCCAAAAGGTTTAAAAATCTATCTAAGACAATGAGCCTTCCACCTATGAGCCTGTAAAATCAAAAATCGAAGCAAGTTAGTTACTTCCTAGATACAATGAGGGTACAGGCATTGGGTAAATACATCCATTCCAAATGAGAGAAATTGGCCAAAGGAAGGGGCTACAGTACTCATGCAAGTCCAATATCCAGTGGGGCAGCCAAACCTTAAAGCTTTGAAATGATCTTTGACTCCATGTCTCATATCTTGGTCACACTGATGCAAGAGTTGGGGTCCCAAGACCTTAGGCAGCTCTACCATTGGCAGTGTACAGCATTCCTCCCAGTTGCTTTTATGTGCTGGCATTTAGTGTCTGCAACTATTCCAGGTCCATGGTGCCAGCTGTTGGTGGATCTACTATTCTGGGGTCTGGAGGATGGTGGCCCTTTTCTAACAGCTCCACTAGGCAGTGTCCCAGTGGGAACTCCGTGTGGGGGTTTCACACCCCACATGTCCCTTCTGCATTGCCCTAGTAGAAGTTCCCCATGAGGATGCCACCTCTGCAGCAAACTTCTGCCTGGACATCCACACATTTCCATACATCCTCTGAAATCTAGGCAGAGGTTTCCAAACTTCAATTCTTGACTTCTGTGCCCCGACAGGCTCAACAACACTTGAAATCTGCCAAGGTTTGGGGCTTACAACATTTGAAGTCACAGCCAAAGCTGTATCTTGGTTCCTTTTAGCCATGGCTGGAGTGGCCCAAGAAGAAGTGTACTAAGTCTCTAGGCTGCACACTGCAGAGGGTCCCTGGGCCCACCCCATGAAAACATTTTTTTCCTCCTAAGCCTTCAGACCTGTGATAGGTGGGGCTGCCTGGAAAGTCTCTGGCATGCCCTGGAGACATATTCCCCATTGTCTTGGAGATTAACATTTGACTCCCTGTTACATATGCAAATTTCTACACCTGGCTTGAATTTCTCCTCAGAAAATGAGTTTTGCTTTTTATAACATCATCTGGCTGCAAATGTTTCAAGCTTTTATGCTCTGCTTCCCTTTTAAACATAAGTTGCAATTCCAAATCATATTTGTAAATGCATAAAACTGAATGCTTTTAACAACACGAAAGTCACATCATGAATGCTTTGCTGCTTAGAAATTTCTTCTGGCAGATGCCCTAAGTCATCTCTCTCAAGTTCAAAGTTCTACAGATCTCTAGGGTAGGGGCAAGATGCCACCAATCTCTTCACTAAACATAACAAGAGTCACTTTTATTTCAGTTCCCAACAAGTTTCTCATCTTCATCCGAGATGAGCACCATTTCATTAAAGCCATTCAACAAGTCTCTTAGGAAGTTCCAGACTTTCCCACATTTTCCTATTTTTTCTGAGCCCTAAAAGTTGTTCCACCTCTGCGTTTTACCCAGTTCCAACATTGCTTCTACATTTTGGGAGATCTTTATAGCAGCACACCACTACCTGGTATACATTTACTGCATTAGTCAGTTCTCACACTGCTAATAAAGACATACTCAGGGCTGGGTGATTATACAGAACAAAAAAGAGGTTTAATAGGCTCACAGTTCCACATGGCTGGGGAGATCTCAGAATCATGGTGAAAGGCAAAAGAGGAGCAAGGACACGTCTTACATGGGTGCAGGAAAGAGGGCATGAGCAAGGGAATTTCCTTTTATAAAATCATCAGATCTCATGAAACTTATTCACTATCATTAGAATAGGATGGAGAAAAGCAGCCCCCATGATTCTGTTATTTCCCACCAGGTTTCTCCCATAACACAGGAGGATTATTACGATTCAAGGTAAGATTTGGGTAGGGAGGCAGAACCAAACCATATCACCAGACTTCACATTTGTCTTCCCCTCTTGAATGTGAGGCCAAGGGAGAAAGGATAATGATATGTTTCAACTGAACCCCTGACACCTAGAGGAATGTCATCCATATATGTTTGCTAAATGAATGACTAGATGCACTTCTTGAAGATTCTGACAAAAGATAAATTTGACTAGATAATCTGCAAATAATCATCCTTGATTATTTTTCTAAACTCAAATATTTATATTAATTGTAGTAATGCCACTCATTATCTGCTTACCATTTGCCAGGCAATGTTCCATGCATTTTCTACACTTTTGCTCACTTGATACTCAAAACTGTGTAGGTACATACTATTAATAAAATTATTTTATAGACAGAGGAACCAATGCATGGGGAAGTTGAATATCTTGTCCAGGAAGGGAAGTTTAAAATGCTAAGTTCAACATTCTAATTCCAGAGCCTATGCTCTGGGCCTCTATGATGCAATATACCTCAAAAATAAACCAACTAGGATGGGTGGGTGGCCCATGCCTATAATCCTAGCACATTGAGAGGCCAGCATGGGCACAATGTTTGAGCCAGGGAGTTGAAGACAAGCCTAGGAAACCTAGGGAGATCCTGTCTCTACAAGATATACAAACATTAGCTGGCCATGGTGGCACATGCCAGTAGTTGCAGCTACTCTGGAAGCTGACTTGGAGGAATCATTTGAGCCTGGGAGGTGGAGGCTGCAGTGAGCCAAGGTTGAGTAGCTGCATTCCAGCCTGAACGACAGAATAATATCCTGTAACAGAAAAAAAAAGAAAAAAAAAAGCAACTTAAAAAGGAAGGACATTAAATTTAAAAAGCTTTAATTTTGGTGAAAAATATTTCTTAAAGCAAAATAACTTCACTGGAACATCCATTTCCCACAACTATGCCCAGGAGGTGGGGCAAGGATAACAGTGTTTCACATTCTCAACAGGTTGTGTTACTTTTCTCCATCAAGTTTTCTAATGATTGAAAAAGTCCACTGTGTGAGTTTATTTGTACACACACTTTCTCAAGTGTGTTTTACTCTCTAAGCCCCATTCCCCTCCTACCGTAATCTATTCCAAGGGCTGGTGAAAAAAAAAAATCCCATGGATACCCTCCAGGATGCAGGCTACAGTCTTGATTCTTTCTCTGGAAAAAAAAAAAAAAAAAGAAATAAAGACATGCATATGCATGTGCAGTGGCTGTTTCCCAATATGTGTACACACCCATGTCAAAAAGGAAGGTTAAGCATACTTTCTGTTTCAGCTCACACAAGGAGGTTAGAAGAGAAAAGCCATGGCTGGTGAGTCTTTCACTGTTCCAAGAACAGGTCCCTGGGAAGAAAGAGTTTTGGAAGGGGCTGACTCTTCTGGAAGCCATAATTAGTATCTGTGCAAGTTTAGGTGAGCAGAAGTGAGGGAGAGGGAGAAGAGAGGGGAGAGAAGAAACCAGAAGACTTTCGCAGCCTTTAGAAAGGAAAGGCAAACACAGAAAGGAACTGAGGGCTTTTAGAGGTAGCCGGCTGTCATTTTTCAATCTTAATTAACTCTAACTTACATGTTGTAAGTCTAACAGAGGGTAAAGAATTGGCACAGGAGATGTACTAGCAGCTATTGTTCCTAAAGCAAATGGGCTACTTTATTATTCATAGTTAAATAAACATGGGACACAAAAGGATGGTTTCTGCTTTCCAGGGACGAACCTGGAAATGGTAAACTCAGTCTTCAGGCCACTCCATGCACATGTACAGAGACTACTGAGGGAAACAAATAGGATAGTGATACAGTAAGAAGAGGGATTACCCAAGTGGGAGGAGGGGGACATTTTACTAAAGAAACTTAAATAAGGTATCTTTCTGTTGATAACATGAGAGGAATATGAGGCTGTTTTCATGATGTGAAAAATCCTTGTGCTCTGAACAGACAAGATCCTGAAGGAGAAGAGAAAGCTGTTTATCCATTCAGTGGGTGAAGGTACAATAAATGGCTTACTGGATGAATTATTAGAGAAAATGGTGCTGAACGAGGAAGAGATGGAGAAAGTAAAACGTGAAAATGCTACAGTTATGGATAAGGCCCGAGCTTTGTTTGACTCTGTTATTCGGAAAGGGGCTCGGGCATGCCAAGTTTGCATCACATACATTTGCGAAGAAGATTGTCACCTGGCAGAGAAGCTGGGACTCTCAGCAGGTAAGGATCAGTGACTCACACTCACCTGCACATAGGGCTTATCAATGTGCCTACCATGTTATGTCTTTACTAGTCATGTTAAGTTGCAGAAAACTTTCTTAACTCTGGCTTCAGGGCCATATTTCTGTAACAGGGCCCCTACTGAATGTCCCTTGACGCTCCTTTGATTCTGTTTCTTCATCCTCAGTGGCCCCCTTCTGATTAAAGCTCATTTCCTGTTCTGAGTATGTTGTAGTTAATTTGCTGACGCTCATGAGAACTATCTGAAAAGCTTCACACTGTATGTTCCAGTGTTCCTGTCAAGGCATAATATTTGTTTGTGGATTTATATATTTATTTTTTTAGTGAAAGCGGTCCCTAAGCACTTAAGTAGTTGTAAAGCCACATGAAGCTTTAAGGTTTGTAATCAAATACTTTTTATAACTTTTCTCCAAAATTTTCCCCTCCAAAAGGAATACAATATATTTCAGTGATGGTGATACACTCAGAGAACATATTGAATGTATAGAAAAATAAAGTTTTCTAGTGGGTTCGTTCCTCCAGTTGCCTCCTTATATTTTTTTTCGTAAGATCACCCGCTTGCCTGTTACCAGGTTGCAGTTCATGCTGTGAGGCCTGGACTGCCTCCACTTGCAGCCCTCTTCAGACCCGATACAGTGCTCAGGAACTGAGCTGACCAAATTTCATGACCATTAGACCTAACACATGGTGAGGATGAGAGTTCTTGTGGATTCACAGTCACTGATCTCAGTGGAACTTCCTAAAGCCACTCGGAGGGAGACGTTCTTTGAAAGTAAAAACCTTTTTTTTCTAAGGGTTAGGGAAAGTTTATGCCTGTCTAAGCAGACATTGCAGATGTTTCTGTTTCATCTACAAGTGATAAACACCTTTTTTTATTGCTGTCTCTTTCATTTTATACCTCTCACCACTCTCTAAATTAAAGAACATCTTGAACATTATTTAATGTCAATCAGTCAGTGTTATAGGAGAGCGTTTTGCACATTGGGGTAAAGTTTTCCAGAGATGATAAGTGACTGTTTCAATATCCTTTATCTTTTCATAGGTCAAACATCTGGACATCACCTTAGTATGCAAGATTCTTCAGAAGTACTTCCTTCTTTCCCAGGTAATGCTGTTTAAAGCAAGAGCATTCTTTGACCCTCCATCTTCCTTGACACTAATTTTGTAGGATGAACCATGGGTAAATGGGCTATGGAGAATTTTCATGGATTGATTGTATAATTTTCTTTTCATCATCTATTCTGCTTTTGCAGAAACTGTCCCACAGCTTCACTATCCATGTTTATATTAAAAATTCTGAATTTGTGTCTCAAATCCTGATTACCCAAATAAGTACCAAATTTATTATTTAAGCCTACTGAAATATTCCTTCACAGCTCCCAGAGACACCCTTATCTAAACAATTTCAGAGCTGAGCATGCCATTCTTCCCCACCCTGATTCTCTTCCGGTTTTGTGTAACTTGGGTATTGGTGCTACCACCACCAGTTGTTCAAACCAGGAACTTGAAACTCATATGGAACACTTTCTTCTCATGTACCTTCAATATTCAAGCCATGGCCAAGTTTTATGCAGACTTTTCTCAAATTTGGAACCATGTCTCCATTTTTACTTCTATTATTTTATTAAAGAACATTTATTCCTATAGTGCCCTATTAAAATAAAATCAACTTCTATCTGAAAGCAATTTAGAGGGTAGGAATGCAAATTATTTATCAGTTTCAGATATTTACTGAATTTATAAAGGTTGGTTATCTCATGAATATTTTCTTAAATGTTTCGCAGCATGGGATATTCAACATATAAACAAATACTGTATTCTTTACTATGGAAAAATAGCTTAAAAATCACCTAAATACTTCTACATATTTTTTCTATTGTTTTCACACTTCTTTATGAAGGAACCAAACATTTCATCCACCAAATGATTATTGTATAATTTTCTCCAATATAGCTATTCTAATTAGTTCTTTTCCACATCAGCGTATTTCATGCTGCCTTTGTTTATCTAACTGACTGTGTAACAGTTTTTCAAATTTGTTCTTAAAGTTAAATTTTTTTTCCTTAATAGTTTCTAAAGGATCCTCCACATATCTAGAAAACTTATTTCTATTTTGAAACAAAGATTACATTAATTTCTTTAACAAATACATCACATTGTCAGATTGTGTTGAACCTGTGATAAAATAAAAGCCTCAAGGATTTTCTCTCATAAACTCTGTTAAAACATTTCCTCATATGTGTGTGTGCAATCGATGTTTAGTGCTATGAATCCATCTAGTGTGCACCTTGATTTTAGCATTCATCTATTTTATATTCATTCTATTTTATATATTCAATATTCTTATCATTACATATGTATACATAGAAAGAAGAGATCCTGAAGGACAAGAAAAAGATTCATTTAAAAAAATATTCCTAGTGCTTACTACCATGTCTATTAAGTAAATAAATAAAAAGATAAACATATTTTAAAAATATTTCAGTAGATTTAATTAAGACTTGCTCCTATTAAATTTCATCCTAGGATTTGAATCTTTTGAAAAAGTTTATCTTCTAACTATTTTATCTCACACATTGTTTTCTGAGTGTTTTACCAGGCATAGACTTGAAATTTTCCTTTTCTATGTTAGTATCTAAAATGCTTGTAGAATACTGATCTTGAAATATGAAAGTAGATCCCTGTAATACATACGCAGAGATCTCTGGATTGAAATGTTTTAAATTAGCAGCAAACTCTTTCAGCTGTGTTTAGGATGTAGATCAGGATTGTCCTCCTTAGAGTGCATTTCCTCTTCTGTGTCTTCATCCATAGGTGAGGCTGTAAGAAACACAAAGCGGAACAAAGAGGAATGCCACCATTCATGAGGTTCTTTGTCTCTTGCAGCTCCTCAGGCAGTGCTGAACAAGCAAATTACGCTCACATCCTCGGGCTCAGAAGGGAATATCAAGCTTTGCTCCCCAAAAGAAGCTGAAAGGATACAGAAAGAACAGTTGGGAGAGGTGCCATGCTCAGAACACATGGATAGAGTGGGGTGAAAGATATACCTGAGGCAGTTCTGAAATGCAGTGACCGTTTCTTAGAGCCAATTTCATTGAACAGTTCTAGAGAATTATACTTTTGCTCCTCTCACATAAAGGATTTCTATATCCTAAAATCCCAGGTTTGGAGAAAGAGTTCCAAATTGGATCCAATTCCTGGGTAAATAACATCAGTGATGGCAGCTATTGAATGCTTACTATGAGTGGGCATTGTTCTAAGCAATTTGCACATGATAATATACAATTTTAAACGTAAACATAACCCATTCTAGAGATCAAGAAGCTGAGATATAGGATTGTTATATATTTTGCCCAAAGATAAATAATCAGAAATTGAAGAAGTCAGTTTTAGAATTCAGCCGTTTTTTGCTTCAAAGCTTGTGCGTCTTTCAAAATCCTACATATCAAGAACAATGAAGTCAGTAGCTCGGCTGCCATCAGGGCATTTGCAATTTCCAGGCCTGCTCTTGAAGCAGCACTCAATTCTGTTACCCCTTTTCAATGTACAGTTCATGGGATTTGGTATCTTCATAGGACTAAGGAAGGGAAAGCTGTCAGAAACCAGCAAGGTGAATATTTAATTGGAGAGGACAAGGCTATTAATTCAAACTCCATTTTCTATAGATTTATCCAACAATGAACGAGTCAAGCCGCACACGTGTTGCTCTCATTATCTGCAATGAAGAATTTGACAGCCTTCCTAGAAGAACTGGAGCTGAGGTTGACATCATAGGCATGTCAATGCTGCTAAAAAATCTGGGGTACAGTGTGGATGTGAAAAAAGATCTCACTGCTTCAGTAAGTTCTATTATCAGAACTAAGAGACAATGGTCATGCCCTTCATATAACTAAATAATATTAGAAAGCTTGGTTTTAAGACCAAGAAATGTAATCTCTTGGTAATCTAAAATATAAAGTTGCCATGAGAGAGTGCTGGATACTACATGTTCCCTTGTAACATAAGAGTCTTTCAGCACAAGCTTGGTGTAACTTAATTGGGAAATGTTTATTAGCTCAGTAATGCCACTGTCTCGCTGCAAGATAACTCTGGATGACTTCCTATAACACTTTTCTTCCTCAAAATTAAGACTAAAACTTTTTTGGCACTCCATTGTTTGTCATGGAATTCCTTAAGTATTTATTTATCGGCTTTCCAAGGTGACATGATAGTTAATTACATAGTGCAAAATCAGCGGTATGGTCTCTTTCAGGAAATGACTACAGAGCTGGAGGCATTTGCACACCGCCCAGAGCACAAGACCTCTGACAGCACCTTCCTGGTGTTCATGTCTCATGGTATTCGGGAAGGCATTTGTGGGAAGAAATACTCTGAGCAAGTCCCAGATATATTACAAGTCAATGAAATCTTTAGAAATTTGAATACCAGGAACTGCCCAAGTTTGAAGGACAAACCCAAGGTGATCATCATCCAGGCCTGCCGTGGTGGTGAGTGCTGATGTCTTTGAAAACACCAGACATTAAATGCTATCCTCATCTGTATGCATCTAGGATTTTTCAGTTTCTTTTTGTCTGTCTTTTAATGTCAAAGAATATGTAATGTCAGTACTCAAGATTGTGGTTTCTGTGAATTGAATGGCTGGTTGGTAGATATTTGTTCCATATTAAAGCTTGAGACTTTGATGTTTGGACATTTTTCGAATTTGTTTAATGGTCAGAAAAGTTAAGAATTGTTGAAAAGATTGTAACAGAAACGTATGTGTGTATTTGCATGTTAATTAATTATAGAGCAAACACATTAATAAATATCATGGAACAGAGGCTAGGAGGAAAACATCATCTTCTCAGCCATTAGTACTAGTAACAAATCAAATTGTGTCTTTCCAGAGAACGAAGGTGTAGTGTGGTTAAAAGACTCAGGAGGAGTTTCTGGAAACACATGTTTACCAACTACAGAAGGGTTTGAAGATGATGCCATTAGGAAAGCCCACATAGAGAAGGATTTTATTGCTTTCTGCTCTTCCACACCAGGTAACAGGTTCTACACAGGACATCTTCGTTGGGGTTATCAATACAAAAAGTGACAATCACCCACTAGAGGGTCTATACCTGCATGGAATTTAGATAAGATTTTTAAAGACCAACTCAAGCTTTGTTCCAAGTTATACATACAATTCCCTTTATCCAAGAGATCAATTTTACATATCTGTTCAATGAATTAGTAATAAGATAATTTGTCTATTTTTCAAAATTTTTTTATTGGAATGCTGAGCCATAACAGAGAATTAAATGGAAGACGTTCTGTGCTATAGTACATTAGAATCTGACTCTGCATAGAAAAAGTTCTGCCATGTTGAGATCATTCATCGGTCCAATTTGCCCAGACATCAAGTATTTATAAAAGAAGAGTAGGAGCTGCGTTCAGAAAAGTAGAACAGCAAGTGAGGCACTTTGGGGCCCTAAATTAAAGAGGGTTTTATCTATAAGCATGAAGTGTGTAAGTCAGAATATATTTGAATTATTCTAAATGTATACTTTGGAGTAAGATTTTGCCATTATTGACTGATACAACCATTTAGTACTTTGTAAACCAGCTCCATTAGTTCCTCTCTGGGTTTTCTTCGAATTGCTCATTAACATGTGGATGTAAATATTATTTTTCTAAGGATTGAATAAATTAATATATTTGAAATATTGGGCATGACACAAAATAAAGCACACATTAAAGAACTGCTATTTAAAATGTTTTTATTTTATAACAATTACTTTCTAAGCAAGGTTTAAATAAAAATTCTTTAAATTCTTTCATTCACCACATTTGGCAGTTTGCTGAGAGGACTCACATTCTCTCAGTCACCCGTTGCCCAAAGGCCCTGCCTCTGCTCAAATAGTTAAGTTTTCTAAAGTATTTTCTAAAATGATATATCTTCTTTCAGAAGAAGCTTGGTTCTACATTGTGTTGAACATGCCCTGATGTAGAACTAAATATTTTTTTCCAATATTCAGAAACAATGGCATCATACAAAAAACCATGCATTTTCATCCTGAGTACATATAACGTATAGTAGACTTTAATATCAGACGGAACTGTCTTTAATATCCTTTGATCCCAGACATTCACACTCACCCCTCTCTGTGTGGCTCTTTTTAGGCCCCTGGCTTCTCATCATGAACCTGGCTGATTTATGTGTCTTTCTTTTCTTTCACTTTCCTTACTCCTCCTTTCCAGATGACTGTCAGGAACACCAATTTAGTTATATATAACTTCCATGTTAGACCAATCTCCACATTCTGCTGTGCCAATCCCAACCACATCCCAGTAATTTCCTGAAGAAAAGTAACCATCTACTTCCTTAATTTCACAAAACGTTTGCAGAAACATCTGTCTCCACCATATCTCTTACCTACTTCCTGTTACTAGAACAAGTCTCAGTTAAAGACTTCCTTTAGCTGAGATAGCTGTGTTTCTAAATAGAATTTTATTATCAATATATACTTTATGACCATTATAACTGGCTAAAATGTGTCATTAAGGAATGTGTCTGTCATTATACATGGAGCTATTCTACTGTCTTTCTCTTAAGCCTTGCTTTGTATAATTTTATGTCTTCATTATTTCTGTGTCTACCAGGTAATAAATTAATATTATTTTTCTTAATATTTCTGTTCTTCATAAGAACTGTTTATCCTGCCATATGATGTGCTCATTTTCTTATCAACTCCTCTTAGATTTCTACCTTTGTTCTGTTTATGATTTTCATAGTTAATTTTTTGTATATAAAATCTTATTGTCAATGGTATTTAATTTTAATTATTTTTTAATGATGTATTGAAAATTTATTAACATAGTTATCCTGTATAGACTGAATATTACATATCCTGTGTTATCTCAGACACTTGTGTGACCTCAGATATCTCTTATGTACGAAATTATTACCATTCCCTGTATAAATGAGTCTATTACATATCAGAATGCATAATTAACTTAAATCAGAGTCAGTAGTACCACTTTGTGAATGTACATTTAGATATTTATTTTCCAAATCCCAATCACTCCCCTGTACTCCATTCTGCCTTTTCCTTACTCGATACTAAATTTATGATTTCAAACATACCTTTGCTGGAGTAGAAATATTAGGTTTTCTTCTCTTTCTTCAGGCAAGAGCCTGTCTTGATAGTTGAAATGTGCTTTATCAACAGATAATGTTTCTTGGAGACATCCCACAAAGGGCTCTGTGTTTATTATGAGACTCATTGAACATTTGCAAGAATATGCCTGTTCCTGTGATGTGGAGGAAATTTTCCGCAAGGTAAGGCTCTAGTGGATGCTATTTTCATTCTATCTCCCTGAATGCTTGGCTATTGCAATTGGAAGCATAGAAAGCAGATCTGGACATGTTTATCTTCTAATAATGCCCTTCTTTCCAAAAGAGTTTTCGAAGTTCTTTGGAGAGTGGAGAAATCTGGGAGCCAGGTCCAACCTGTTATGACCCACAGCCTTGAGAAAACAATAATTCAGTTTCACCCTGCTCCTGCCCTGCAGAGACAAATAATTTGCCTTATTTGCGGACTCTAATTTGCCTGTGTTCCTCATGGCTATTAGATCCAGCAGCAGATTTTAAAAGCCCTAAGGAGGGTCATTCATTGCTTTGATATGTGTATGGCTATACTTGCTGCAGATGGAAGTAATTTTTGTTTTTGTTACTTATTTTGCTAGATTTGTTGTAGTCTTTTTGGCATAACTCAAGAATCTCTTGAAAAAAAATCTCAGAAAAAAAAGGTCTACAGACTTTCCTTTCCGTTTTAGGTTCGACTTTCATTTGAGCAAACAGCTGGCAGAGTGCAGATGCCCACCACTGAAAGGGTGACTTTGACAAGACGTTTCTACCTCTTCCCAGGATGTTAAAATAAGGAAGGTGGGTGAATATCTGTGGACAGGTATGTGTGTATGGTCGGGAGTGTGGGAAGGTTCAGGAAAGCATACTGAAAGTGCATTTTAGTCAAGGACTCTAGGTCTACAGGTTGAAAATCCTTAATCCAAACATTAGAATTTTGAAATGCTCTAAAATCCAAAACTGTTTGAGTGCCCATATGATATTTAAAGGAAATGTTTATTGAAGCATTTCAAATTCCAGGTTTTTGGACTAGAGATGATAAACCAGTAAGTATACTGCAGATATTCCAATATAAAAAAATTTCTGAAATTCAAAATACTTCTGGTAGCATGCATTTTGGATAAGAAATAATCAAGCTATATTATAATATACAGAAAATACTGAAATAATGCCTTTCTTCTGGTCAGTGCACTGCACATTTATCTTCTCCAAAAGGTTTTCATTTAGACCCCTTCTGAGAGTCAGCTGATATTTCCCTAGAAGTGGCCGTAAGACTATGAATGCTCACCTTTAGATGTTTCTCCCCTTCACCTCAGCAGAGTGTATTTAAACATAGCATGCAGTCTTTCCTTTTAAGATTGTGTGTGCTCCCATTGGTGGTATAACTTTATAACTTGCATGTCTTTTAGCAAAATTCTTTCCTATGTTTATTTTTATTTCTTTTTCCTCATAGGACATGAAGAGATCCTTCACTCTTTAAAGGTTTTTAGAATTATGTCTGATAAATAAAAAACTTTTGAATTAATAAATCTGTTAGAAAAATGAAAACTTGTCCTGAGTTTTCTCCCACACTGAAGAAACAGGGGTTGGAACTTAGAGAGACTAATGAATTTAGAGTGTTTGACTTAATCCGTAAGACCCAAACTGGCTATTGGCACCTTTCTTTCCCAGAGTTAAAAAAAAAAAAAAAATCAGACTTATGAACATAGCAAAGTTATTAATTACTTTCCTAAACAAAAAATTTATGTTGTGCTATTTTTTAAAAGAAAAGAAAAACCATATGCTGGACTTTCTGCTTTAGAGATGCAGATACAGATTACAGCAGGTATCTGACTTCAAAGAATTTAGAGCTTAGCAGGAGAGATGGGGAGAAGACAGACAGTTATGATAGTGACAGTACAGTATGATAAGGAACTTTTCCCAAATCTCATGGTTTACTACTCACAAATACATGAACAGAACTTGCATATTTCTACCCTTTGCTAAAGTATTTAAGACAAAAAAAGGTAAATTTTGAATCAACTCTAGACCCTCAGTAGTTCACAGAATCCTTGAAAAGATAAGACAGCCATCAAAAATGAAGCACTTGGCAGATGATGCATGACACCCTGAAAAAACACTAGGATGCACGGTATGTGCAATGAAGTCCCTACATGGTGCAGAGAAAATGAGTTTGTGGCAAAATCATTCACTCCGAGATGTTAAGATCTAGGGAGGATTTGAAGAACTACCCTTTTACTTGCAAATATGAGATTTTTTCTAATCTTAAACACATTAAATGAGAGTGAATTTCTGAACTTTTAAAAACCTTCATAATTGAACACATAATCTCTCTCTCTCTCTCTCTCTCTCTCACCTTTGATTAACTGTTTTTCTGGGCATATCTCTTCTGCACTATCATGCATATTCTACTATAACCTGAAACTACCTCTGTGATCAGTCTTTGCTCAAAAAGCAGAAGTGAATTGCCACCCTCAGTAAACATGAACTGTTAAAGCAGTTTTAGGCAGTTGAAGAAAAGTATTCTAGGAAGTAGATAAAAAGATTCCTTCAAAATGATCTCCAATCAAAGGGTGAGATGACAGGGAGATGGGGAAGAGAAGACACCTTCATGATTCCTCAGCACAGTTAACAAGAAATACATCTATTGAATAAACAATACTTTCCTTACTTATTTTGGTTGACTTCGTTATCAGTTGGTTGTAGGTGTATAGGTGTGTGGCTTTATTTTGGGGTTCTCTATTCTGTTCCATTGGGCTATGTGTCTGTTTTTTGTACCAATACCTTGCTGTTGTGGTTACTGTACACTTCTAGCATAGCTTGAAGTCCAGTAATGTGATGCATCCATCTTTGTGGAAAGCAGTTTGGAGATTTACCAAAGAACTAAAAGCAGAGCTATCATTTATTTGACCAAGTATCCCATTACTGGCTGTATCCCCAAAGGAAAATATACTGTTCTATCAAAAAGACATGCACCTTTAAATGTTTGTCACAGCACTACTCACCATAGCCAAAAAAATAGAATCAACACAGGTGTCCATCAATGGTGGATTGGATTAAAAAAAAAATGTGCCACACACCTACTACGGAATGTTGCGTAGCCATAAAAATGAAATCCTGCCCTTTGCACCAACATGGATGCCATTATTCTAAGCAAATTAATGCAGAAACAGAAAACCAAATATCACATAATCTCACTTATAAGTTTTAGGCTAAATATTGTGTACACATGGACATAACAGACACAGGGAACTACTAGAGGGAGAAGTGAAGAAGTAAGGCAAGAGCTGAAAAACTATGTACCGGGTGCTATTCTCACTACCTAGGTGATGAAATAAATCGTACCACAAACTTCTGCGTCACCTAATATACTCATGTAACAAACCTGCATATGTATCCGTGAATCTCAAGTAAAAATTGAAATAAAAAATAAACCCAAGATATACCAAATACTTGGTTAATTCTTACGGGAAGATGCAAGGAAACTAGTTAGATTTTACTCATTCAGGACAGGTTTTTTTAGATGAGCAACGGTAGAATAACTGACAGATCAGAAGAGAAGGATGAATAAAGAAGGTATGGAGCTACGGAGAGAGAAAAGGGAAAAGAAAACCAGGCTGAGGTGTCAAACCAAAGAACAATGTTTTGTCATTCGCATTTTTTTCCAAGGGAAGAAACCAGAGTTTAGGACTAGAAAGCCAATTGGCTATAGGGCACTTCCCCATGATGAACCTAGAAGTTCCAAGCGGCAACTTCATAATCTGTAATCATGTGTCTCCACCCCTTGCAATAAGGAAATACCTGTGACTTTTATTTGAGTCTGAAAAATCATGTGTCCCTACCCCTTGCAATAAGGAAATACCTGAGACTTTTAGTTCTGAGTCTAAACTTGTGAAAAACAGTATCCTTTGTATAGCACTTTACAGTGCTATACAAAGAGACAGGGGCTGTTAGCTATGGCTGGTGAGTCTGGGGTTCTTTTCTGACTAGGAGCTGGGGACTCAGGTCTTAGAAAACCCTTGATTTTTTGCTGTGTGACAGGGAGAAATACCGAAAGGGAAATAAGCCAATAGTGCACACTGGATCTTTCTGTTATTGGTGGCATGTAGTTTGAATCATGACACCCAGTGTTGGAGACACTGAAGAAGAGTATGTTCTCTACATGTTTTCAAGCCAACAAAAGGTTAATTCCTTTCTTTCAGCTTCTAGTAATCAAAGGGAGAGTAAAAAAAAAGTAAAGTGTTTGTGTGAGAAATCTCCAGAAATTTCTAAGTGCACTCTGAAATCTTCTCTGCTTCCTCTTGATCCCAGATTAATCCTCCAGACTATGAACCTTCTTCCCAGAAACAAATTTGAGAGCCTCTGTGTTCTCAACACGTTGTCATCTCTTGTCTTGAATTATATTCTTGGGATGTTTAAAGTGATTGCATTTTTTCCACCTTTCTATGTAGTCCTGGTACTAACTATTGTAATGCAATATTTCTTGGGTTGCCTTCACAGATTTTTAACTGGCTTCCCACTCTCCAAAACTTACCCCTTCAGTCCATACTGCACACTACTTTCAGGCTGACTGTCTTATACACAGAAGCTGAAAAAGTCTAAGAGTTGGAGTCCTGAGCTACTTAGGCAGCCAGTATTCCAGCAGGTCATACTGCTTCTTTGGTTTCATTCTCCTTATTGAAAAAAGGAAGAAACTGGAATAGATCAGTGGTTTCTAAATCTTGTAACATATATGAACAATTTGTAGTCATATTAAACAAATTAGATTATACTACCTGAATAGCTCAATCTTTAATAGACTGTAGACATTTACTATCCTTAAATATCTGCAGACAATTCTTAGGAAGCTAGCCTGGCATAGGTTCTTGTACACGTTAGCATTATTAGCAAAGTTGGTCAGTTAGTTAACTTTCACTTCTCACATGCTAGGGATCTATTAATGTAATTTTCTTACTCAGCAATATACATTGCCTTCCTTTATTGCTGTTTGAGAAATATCTAAACTTTCAGATAGGTGCTTCTATCTTTCAAAATATTCTTATTCATTTTTCCATTAATTACTCTAAGGCATGATTTTAGATTCATAAGAAATAAAGCAAGTATTTCCTGTATTTTACTTCACTCGTAGTTCCTTGCTATTGAGTTTCTTTATTTCTTTGATTCTCCCTGTAGTTTATGTTTATCTCCAGGGTTTATGTCTCACCTGACAACACTCAATTTAAACTCCCAAAATGCAGGAATTGCTTTTTTATTTTTTGTCTGTTTTGTGATCCTACTAAAGCCTTTGGCCAGGAAGGAGTAAGACAAATTCACAGCCATGGCTGCCTCTTTGGCCAGGCAGGCTGACTTTACCAGTCATGCACTGGAGTCAGGGGAATCATTAGATAATAGATAAGAGAAATTGAAAGGTACAAATCAAAAATAAGTTAAGTGAATTAATCATAGCAAATGACCATGTATAGTTTGTGTTTGTTAACTGAAACTTGTGAAAAACAGTATCCTATATAAAATGTGTAGGAATTTCACATCACTTTGCCTAGAACCAAAACTGTGTTCTTGATGAATTTGGCCTCTAAATTATTCCATTCATTTTTATTATCACTGCAACTTTAATTTTGTGATTAGTAAAATAACAAAAAATAATCAATGAAAACTTTTTTTAAAATAGTACTGTATGATAGGTATCTCATGCACTTTCTCTGACTGAATATTTAAAGTCAGTCAGTTAAGTTTGTGCTATTATTGCCATTTTATAGTTGAAGAAGATATCTAGAAAAGGACTAAAAAATTTTTATTTGGCCTAATGTCTGTTGAGAAGAGTGAAACTAGGTTGGCCTGACTCTTAAACTCAACACTCTAATGTTATGTCAATTTTCTGCAAAGAAACATGTTCAAATGGGGGCCCTGTCTCTGATCACGCCCACTTCAGTTCTGGCCCAGCCCTCCCAGCTTCCTCATTACTTTAGACGCACAAAAGCCTTTGTGTTTCTTCACTCACTGCTCTCTGCCAGGAGACCAGCCCTTACTTGTCCAAATGGCAAATTTCTTCTAGTCTTTCTGGTCTCAGTGCCAAGCCCTCCCTCAACTGGACAGCTGTCTTCTCAAACACACTTTGCTCATGCTTATCTTGAGCATCTGCTCATTATTTAAATTCTTATGTTTTTTTTATTTTACTTATTTACATATCTATCTTTCCACTTGACTATAAGCTTGAATGTATAAGAATATTCCCCCTAAATGGTACCCTCACCACTAGCAGAGTATCTTTTACAAACTAATACTCACTAAATTTTCTGGAATGAATAGGAGAGTAAATATGACTTCCCTCTGCTGGAAACTTCCAGGGTGTGCTTATTGCCTATTAAATAAAATCAAACTTACTTTTTATTAAATATTCTTCAAGAGTTGGGCCATGCCTAAATTTTATTCATTTGTTTCTACATTCACTCAGCTAGTGATTCAGTAGATAATTATTAGACTTCCCTTGAATGCCAGTAGTGCAGGCCTAGTTTATGGTCACATGTCTTCACAGAGCATAAAATCTAATGATGGATGCTGATAAGTAGGCTGGAAATCACAGTTAAAGGTAAAAGTATGCTACTCTAAGAATAAACAAGGTGCCCTAGGTGCCCACCACTGACACTTGTCCCCTCAGATACTCAGAGAGGATTGCCTGAAAAAAAAAGTTCCAAATGGGCCAGGTGTGGTAGGTCACGCCTATAATTCCAGCACTTCGAGAGGCCAAGGAGGTAGATCAAGAGGTCAGGAGATCAAGACCATCCTGACTAACACAGTGAAATCCCATCTCTACTATAAATATACGCACACAAAATTACCTGCGCATGGTGGTGGGTGCCTGTGGTCCCATCTGCTCCGGAGGCTGAGGCAGGAGAACCACTTGAACCTGGGAGGCAGAGGTTTCAGTCAGCTGAGAGTGCGCCACTGCACTCTAGCCTGGATGACAGGTCGAGACTCCCCCAAAAGTAAATAAGTGCATCTAATCTTAGACTTGAAAAATAAACAGAGAACATAGGAGAACAGGAAGCAATGAGAAGGTGGAAGACTGGACTAAAAACCAAGTGAAGAGCAGAATGTTTTGAATGTAATGAGCAAGGTGGGGACAGTATCACATGGGGCTGAATGAGAGGGCCTAGGTTAGAATAAGCTGAGAGGTTTCATGGTCAAATCTAGCTATTGGAACATTCTTCATTGTGAAGAATAGAATAGAAGGGACTACCAGAAGGCTTATAAGGTATTCTGTGTAATTAAGAAAGAAAGGGTCCTGTAATCTCAGCACTTTGGGAGGCCAAGGCAGGTGGATCACCTGACAGTCAGGAGTTCAAGACCAGGCTGGCCAACATGGTGAAACCCTGTCTCTACTAAAAATACAAAACATTAGCTGGGTGTGGTGGCACATGCTCATAATCCCATCTACTTAGGAGGCTGAGGCAGGAGAACTGCTTGAATTCTGGAGGCAGTGGTTGTAGTGAGCTGTAATCGTGACATTGCACTCCATCTTGGGCAACAGAGAGAGACTCTATCAAAAAAAAAAAAAA